TTTTTGCATAAATTCATACTTTTGGAAGATGTTCTGATGCAGTGATTTTAAAGCAAGGGAAGGTCATTTTTTACATGACTCCAAAGCAGCTGGGCAAGGATGGAGTTTGTGCTTTAGAWATCAGAGTGACGCTAATGTAACCTGATACCGTTGGCTCTGCAGAGAAAACCAGCACATCCATGCTCTCCACTGACTCATGTCAGAAAACAAATTTTAGTTGAAAGCAGTGTGTTTCCATGTCCACACTGCTGCCTGTCATAACAAAACCTATTTAAGGCTGTGTACTTTACGCTGTAGAAAGATGGAAAGTGGGAAATCCTTTTAGTCATTTAAAACAATTTTAAGCCAAAATGTTTGTCTAAATTCAGTCCCGTAGTGGCTTCAAAAATAAGTAATTAATAGCTTAGTAAAACTATTATTCATGATATAGGAGATAAAATAAGACAAAAAAAAACAAAGGATTGGCAGAAGTTTCATTTTAAATCAGCTTTCTGTAGAGGCTAAATAAATCTGGCTGTTATTTTTTTTTTCTGCCACAGAGTGTTTTTATTGTACAGTTTAAAAAGATGTTTACTACTTGTTTCCAAAAATCAAATCAAATCAAATTGCTCAGCCTTTTAGTATTGTCTCTGCATGGTATGTTGCAGATTTCCTCTATTCTTTAGCTATTGCAGGCGTTTTGCATCAGCTAGTAACAAGTCACACATGCTCCACATATGAAGCTGACTCTGCAATTCTTACACTTTTTTTTCAGTTAGATGCTGCTTTCATGAAGAAAATGGAAGTTTTAAAAGATGACTAGGGAGCCCACCAGGGGTCAGTGGGAGAAAAAAAAACAGCCACTGGAAATGTGTGCGCACAGTTTAGTAATCCATGTGCACAAGATTACTACGGATTACTAAACTGTGCTCTCAGTTTCTGCAATCTGTGTGCACGAATTACTAAACCGTGCGCTCATTTCTGGCAGTCCGTGCGCATGGATTACTGACATCTGGAGAGGCTGGATGGTAACCGTGGGTGACTGGTGGGACCTGAAGTTTTTCATCAGCTCAAAAAGTGCTTAAGGAGCGTTTTTTTGTTCACTAAAGTCAAAATACAGCACAGAAAATGTTTGAATTTGAGTATGTTGCACAGTCTTTGTCCCTCTATCAGGCAGTTTTGGTACCGGGTCTCGTAAAAGCTGTTTCAGATCTGATCAGATCAAATCATCACAGGAAGCCGCTCGGAGCCTTTCTGCCCGTGGTCACCGGATGTTTATAGTTTCCCTGACAACGGGGAAGTTTCGTTAGTTAGCCAGCTGCCTTCTCAGGGTTACTGTATATCACAAAAGTACTGAATAGATTTATTTTGAACTTTTAGGAAATATTTATTGCTCATTCAAAAACATTTTTTACACCATCAGTTTAATAAATTTTGAAACATTTCAGAGTAAGAGCGGGGCTGCGGCTCCCATGATTGTCATTCTGCAGATGAAGCTCGCCACACTGTGACATTCAGCTAGCGGCTCGGAGGTCTTCTCCAGCGGTTCTCGGATGTTTATTCTCTTTCCTAGACCTAGACAACAGAAGGAGGATGGGACGGCGGAGGAGGCTAACCTCCGTTTCAGGAATAATTTGCCTGGAAAATATGAAAAAAAAAATAACCACCTCGTATTTTGATGAAACTTTCAGGGGCATTCTGTGGCTAAAAATGTGCTGATGAAAACACGACAGTGCCCTAAGTTTATATATGACAATAGATCCACTGAATTTACCTTGCAGATGTGGCTTCCAACCTGTCGACAAATCTAAGCAATCTGTGCACATGAATTACTAAACTGAGCGCACGGATTTCCGGTGGGTTTTTTTTTCTCCCACTGACACCTGGCGGGCTCCGTATTATCCAGTTACTTAAATARGAAACATAAAATATTTAGATTTTTTTTTTCAATTTGTTGTCATGGTTTGTGTTAATGTTTGTTCTATTTTGGTTTTCTGTCTTGTCCTTCTATTTACTTCCTCCTATCTTCCTCCTCTCTTTGCTCCAGCCCCCTTTGCTCCAGCTCCACCCACTCTCACCTGTTCCTCATGTTTCTTTCCCAGGTTTTTCTTGTCTTCTCTCATTAGTTAACCTTTATTTTCTGTGTCCTGTCTTCAGTATTTGTCGAATCATTGTGCTTTGCTACCCAGCCTGTTTGGTTTGTTTCATGTTCCATGTATTTTGTGCCAAGCCTGGTGAGTTCTTGAGCTGCTTTGACAGGATTTTTGCTTTAAATAAATTTAGATTTCTGCCTGTTTTTGAACCTGCCTGCGCCCTGGGTTTTTTCCTGCCCAAATACTGACATTTGTTCTGTATTTGTTAAATTACTGGAATCATATTAACAGTGGCGGCTGGCCAGTAGGGGGCGCTTGGGCGCCGCCCCCTTTAAATTGTTTAGATAAATGATTTAATTCTGAACTGCAAAATACTTAGAAATGTATTTATTCATACTGTGTGTCCAATAGACATGTTAGAATTTATTAAAATAGTAAATACATAATTCTATTTAATTGCTCACATTGTGCACAGTGCACACTTCCTATGTGCAGGGCGCCGTT